CGACTGGCCGCGCCCGCCTCCGCCGTCGCCGTTGCCGTCACCGAAGCCTCCTGGAGTTGGCCAATCGTCGCGTTCTGATTCTCGGTTAGCGTCAGGAGCCTCTCGGTCTCACGCTTGGCCTCTAGTACCTCCTGTGCTAGGGCCTCCACGCTAACTACTGCGCCCAACCGCGTTCCGCTACCATCTTGACCGTCCTTTTCTCTCCCAACAAGAACTCGAAGCCAAAACGGCTACAGTACATCGAACTCAGCAAGCGCAGAGCAAACGAAGAAAGGGGTACGGATTGGAGGAGTGGGTGGGAGGAGCGAGAAGGGGAAATAGGGGCCACATCTCGACAATTCTTGGTATTCCTCCTGTAGACGGACATGCCCGACTTAAAAACTCCCGCCTCCACCCGGTCGCACCCGTGCCCGCGCGCCGTGAGCAGGGGCACGCCGGGTTTCCCGCGTGAGGTCGGGCATGTCCACCTGCAGGCGGATCTGGGAGGTCGGACAATTAAAAATAACCGAAAAGATAGCTCATTGAAAACAATTCATGAAATTGAGAAACACCCGAAAAGATGATCAAAAATAGTCCGAAATCGTCCCCTGACAATTTTGGGCCTATGTTTGAATATTCCTCCTGTGGAGGGACAGGCCCGACTTATGTCTCGCGGCTCTCCCTCGGCATAGACCGAGGCCCCCCGCGCGCTCCGGACGCTGCACAAGAGGGCGGCAGGCTGCGGCGCGGGCCCGGCCACACGATGGCGCCGAGCGCTGGAGCGAGGCGCGGCCAGAGCAATCAGTCTGAAGCGAACACTTCCCAGATAGGATCGCGTCGTAAAACGAAAATCCGGGCGGGAGATTTGTTGCCAATTTCGGCGTCGGGGGGCTCTCTCCTGGCCTCGGGGCCGTCAAGAAACGACTCGGGCTGGGAAACCGGTCCTTGGGAAAGGGTCGGGACTTCCAGAGACCCCGTCTTGAAAAAATCAACGTCGAATGTCTGGGTCATCGTATCGGGAGGAAGGGGCTGGGTGGATGAAGGGTATGCGCAATAGCATCCGGATGTGAAGAACGATACCTTCGGCCGCCTACGGGCAACAATATCCTCATCTCTCCCAGGTCCGCACTCCCAACCCAGTAACTGTCTTCCTGACATTCGGAAGACGTCAGACTCGGGCTCGGGGGACTCGGGCTGGCCCGAGGGGGGCATCATGAAAATGGCGAGCCCCACTCTGAAATATAACGCGAACTCCCGCGGCAGACCTCCCGCGAAAGATGGACCATCAGGGCGCTGGCAAACCCGAGTTCCGGCGCACTCGAGTCTCACGTGCCATTCGAGATACCGGCCGTCACCGCTAGGTCGGGCGTGCCCCCCTACAGGCGGATTTTGGACGAACAATGAAAACTAGTGAAAAGAAATATTCAAAAAAATATGAACGACAAATCGTCCCCAGACTATTGTTTTACTAATTTTGAGCAGTCCTCCTGTGGAGGGACATGCCAGACTGAACGTTACCGGGGATGCTCCGTGGCGGGCGCATCCGGGCCCTCCACCTCTCCGGCGAGGCGCTGCAGCAAGGAGGGGACGCGCACGGCGTGGACGGAGGCAGACGAGAACGAGGACGAAGGGATGTGCTGCAGCATCGGTGGTGCGTGCTGGGTTCGCTCCTCCCTGCTCCCGCCCCTCCCTCCTCCCTCCTGCTCCCACCTCCCTCCTCGCCCTCTCCTCCTCCTGATCCTCCTCCTGATCCTCCCCACCCACCCCTCCTCGCGACCCCCTCGTGCTCCCTCGGGCCCCTCTCGTCCGACTCCTCAGCATCCTCCGAGACGTCACGCGCCACAAGCAGTCCACCAGCGGAGAGCACCCCCCCCCAGTGCAGCCGCCGAGGCGACGGGAGATCCTGGAGGCGGCGGGCTCTGCTTCCGGTCGCGCGGCACGGCCTGGCTCGAGCCCACGTGCGAACAGTGTAACCGGGCGGCCCTGCAGCACTCCGCGGCATCGCCGCCCTCCTCCTGCCGGTCGTGGCCGACCTTCCCCTGCCCAGAAGGGGCAAAAGGTCGGGCGTGTCCTGCTACAGGCGGGAATTTCAAGAAATTCCAAAAATTGTCCAAACATGATAAAAGACATATCAACAAAAAACTATTTGTTTAAAATAATAATAAAAAAACAACGTCCCAAACTATCTCTACAATGTTTGAATATTCCACCTGTAAATGGACAGGCCCGACTCAATGATGCCCCCGGCCCCCACCCGGGAGGCCCTCGAGCCGCGAAGGCTCCACAGCGTGGCTGGCCCACGGAGCCCTCCCTGCGTGCCCAAAAAGCGAGGCGAGGCCCGAAGGCACTCTCTCAGCGAGCAGCCTCCCCATACGCCACGAACATGCGCACAGAGACACCCTCCGATGAACCGTACATGTATGCACACTACGGGAGGGCGGCGAGGACAAAGTCGCTGGCTCCAAGTGGTGATTTATGCACCGCCACCTTTCCCTGCGGCCCAGGAACACTCCACTGGCGTGTGTCTGCAGATGTGTATATATGTATGTGTGTGTATGTGTATGTGTATGTATGTGTATGTATGTATGTATGTATGTATGTATGTATGTATGTATGGATGTATGTATGTATGTATGCATGTATGTATGTATGTATGTATATAAATATGTGTGTGAGTGTGTGTGGCGGATCTCCCCCCGACTCGGCGGCGCGCCGAGGGGGGAAGTGAGAGAGGGAAGCCCTGCAGAAGGCGGCGGGGCTTCTCAGATGCCCTCCAACCTCCTGAGAAGCCGCCTGCCTTCAAATAATGCTGGGCAAGCTCTTCAGAAGGCCGGGGGCCTACTGAGCCTCAGCTCACGCATCGCTGGGATATGAGAGCGGCCCATCGAAACCAATCGTAGGACGGGCATGTCCTCCTACAGGCGGATTGAGGACGAAAAATCCAAAAACTACCAAACATACCCAAAATATGTTTAAAAACAGTCAAAACTCGTCGCACTGTGTTTGACTATTTTTTGATATTCCTCCTGTAGAGGAACGTGCCCGGCTTAAAAACACGCCTCAGGCGCGAGCCAAATGTCCCACCAAGCTGTCACATTCCCTCCCGACAAATGCGGGGAAAACGAAGCGCGCCGCGGGACGAAACACTTTGAGGAGCAATGCGCAGAAGAGTTGACGCCGTGCCTCCTCCTCCTCCTCCTCCATATCCTCTTCCATCTCCTCCCCCATATCCTCTCCCACATCCTCCTCCTTCTCCTCCTCCTCCTCTTCCTCCTCCTCCTCCTCCTCCTCCTACGGGGAGGGGGGAAGGCTTCTCAGAAGGAGGCTGCGTTCTCAGAAGGCGCCAGCCTTCCATCTAAAGGCAAGGCCGCGCCTCATAAGAAGCAGGGGTGCGTCTGAGAGGCCTGACCCTGGCCCCTGGCCGTACGAGCCTGCTCCTTTTTTTGTGTTGTCTTCTGAGGGTGGGAAACATCGTATGAGTTGCTCACGGCGTTTTTGAGAGCGGTGCGCAAGAGATGACCTGTAAGACCTGGCACGGGAGCCGGAGCGGGCGGCACGGCTTCCTGAGAAGAAAGGCGGAGGGCCCGCCCCGAGTTCGGCCTCGGACAGCGGCAACTCGACGGCGAGCGAGGGTCCGAGGGGGAGGGGAGCGAGAAGGCGAAGGCCTGCTCAGAAGGCGGCGGGACTCCTCAGAATCCCCAGCCGCGCCCTTGGAGAATTTGTCCGTCTTCGAGGAAGACTCAGGAAACTCCTCAGAAGGCTGGGGGACTTCTGATGATCAAAAGAAGATCTCTACTAACCCTTTGGAATGGGACCTAAATTAGAAGGGCCAAAAACATTAGGGAGAGGGGGCCTTTGCTGCAGATGTGCCAGGCCAAACCGCCCAGAGCTATCATCCCTAATGCAAGGACGGGGCCCTCAGTGAGGCCAGCTCTTCACTCTAATATCCTCGATGATCCGAGCCTTCTGAGGAGGCCTCCTTCTCCTGACTTCCCCCCTCGGGCTCGCCGCCGATCAACAAGACGTCGACGCCCCGGCAAGGCCCCGCCCCCCGCTGGGTCCCGCCAGTCCCGTTCCCTCCCTGTCCTTGGAGGCCAGGGCGCCGCGGGCAGGGCACAGCAGAAAAACCAGCCGCAGTGCGGAGCCCGCCCACGAAAAGAGGACAAACCGAAGCTGCTAGTCTTGGGATGGTCGCCTTCTCGCCATGGTGATGGGCAACTTTCCACCACCGCTACCATGAGTAGGACGGGGGAGAAGGGAGGACGAGGAGGTCCTCCTCCTCCTCCTCCTCCTCCTCCTCCTCCTCCTCCTGCTTAGGGTAGTGGTGGAGGAAAATGGGCCCATCACATGGGCCTCTCCGTTCTCAGGATGGGCCCAGGGGGGCCGCGAGAGGGGTCCAGGGCCAAGCGGCCCAGCAAGGCCCCCTGAAAGAGCACCCGCGCACACAGAGCGCCAAGAAGGCCCTCCATACGCCCCCCCCCAAAAAAAAAGCTTCGCATCCGGGGCCGATGCCCGCTCGGACACGCCACGCATGCGCCAAAAGGGCCCTGGGAGAGCGATGGATGCCCCAGGCAGAGAGCGCCAAAAGGGCCCCCGCGAGCCCCCCCCCCCCAGAAGCTTCGCATCGGGGGCCGGGACCCGCTGGGACACGTCACACGTGCGCCAAAATCGGCCTTGGGAGAGCGACGGATGCCCCAAGATGGGAGACCAGCCCAGAACCCCTGGGCGCCTTCTCCGCGGGACCCCACCACTCCGGCTTCCCCCCCCCCCCTCAGGCCTGGCCCCCTCCACCTAGACGTGTCCGTCGAGAAACAAATGCGACATGTTTGCTCTGCCGGCATCTACATGAACTGTTTGGTCTCGCGATCCAGACCCAACGTGTAGACCAATCGACAAATCCTCAGGGTCAATTGCACTTGCTATAGCATGACTGAGCAGGCAAATCTAACCAACATCACTCAGAAGCCAAGAAACTTCTGACAAACTCGGGCATTGCAATGTGATGTCGCGTCCTGATTCCGTCAGACCTCACCAGAGTCGATGGCCTTCACCACATACTGCTGCACCTGGATGTGATGAGATTGCTGAACATAATTACGATGGGGCACCAATGCACAAACAAACAATAACAACTGCCTAGTCAGCCTGGTCGTTGAAAGATGCCGTTGAAAACCGCACCACCAAAAAAAAATCCTGTCAGCACGAGCTGTCCAACAGATACCGGCAACGGAAGTGGGATGGGAAGGAGAAAGGATGAAGAGCACGAGGATGATAACCAAAACTGTCGGAAGAGGGGAGAGGATAATAATGAAGCGGAAGAGGAGGAGAAGGAGGAATCGCGCTACGAGGAAGAAGAACGGGCAAGTAATGATCAGGACACGTAGGAGAAGGAGTGGCAAGGATGAGCGGGAGGAGGAAGAGAACACGAGACCAGGGGAAGAAAAGAGGAAAGATGAAAGAGGAGGCATCCAAGGGGGGGAAAAGGTGGACGAGGAGAGACACCATGGCAAGGGAAGGGAAGTGATCAGGACGAGCACGCAGGGGGGGGTCGCGTCGCCTGAGTGCATAATACCACCCCTCTTTTCCTCTGCTCTCCTTCGTCAACCCCCTCCGTCTCTTCGTCGTCGTCCTTGTCCTCATCGTCATGGTCGCCGGCGTCGCAGGTGTTGTCGTCGTCGCCGCCGCCGCCGTCGTCACCGTGGCACATCTCCCTCTAGGCCGTCGCCCTCTTGGTCCTGGTCGTCGAAGCCGACGTCACCGAGCCGCCAGCGGGGCGCGGCGACTCTCACGGCGCGCAAGGGCACGCCGCCACCGCCGCCTTCGAAACTGTCGTTGCCTTCGACAATGTCGCCGGAAACGCCGATGCCGTCAACGTCGACGCCGTCGACGTCCTCGATGTGAGCGACGACGATGACGTCGAGGCGGTGTCGTCGGCGCTGGCGACGCCGTCAACGGCGACGACCGTCGACGAACTCGACAACGTAGTCCCCATCATCGTCGTCGTCGGCGTTGGCGTCGGCGTACGTACCGTCGACGTCGTCGCCGTGCCCCAACTTCTTTTACGCTGGGTCCCTAGAAATGCCGTCTTCTTCCCCATAGCTGGTTCCTACCTCAAGCCGTCTTCTGACAGCCCCGCGGCCAGGTATGGGCAGCATGCCCCCCCCCCCCGGGGCCCAAAAACCACGAACAACACACGTGCTTGAAGTACTTTTCAAAACGTTTGAGGCCTGGGTCGCGAACATTCGGTGTCTGTTCCATGGGAACCTACGTGGCCCCCGGCGCTGTTCGAATCGGGTCTGACTTGGAACGGGTTCGGAACACGTTTGGCACCGGACTGTGACCAGACCTGCACCAGAGTCGTCGCTTCGCAAGGGAGAGACGAGAAGAACGAGGAGGGGGCGGAGTACCCAGAAGGGCGAGGAGGAGCAGGAGGAAGAGCCGAATGCGGCCCAAAATGCCGCCCACTGACATCCGACATTGCCAAGAAAGCAACATCACAAAAAATCACGACCTGAGGCCCGGACTCCAGCTTTCTGCTCCATTTTTTGAGCTGGATCGATCTGTGAAAATCCAGGGGCCCGAAACTGGGCGGAAACGCCCGTTGCGAAAAAAAATGCACGGCCAAGATCTCAGGGAGGCTCCCGTGATCAGACTGAGCATCGTCTAACCGATCCCTATCCCCACCGGCGTGGCCTGGCCCCCCCCCCTGGCCCATTGAACCCGAGAGATGGGGATACATGTCCCCATTTGGGTTTCAGAGGGCACCTCCCCAAATGGGGTGGTGTGATGGTGGGGCTCGGGATAGGGATGGGGATGGGGATCGGTTAGACGATACAGTCGGACCTGGGCCAGAAGAACATCCTCCGAGGACATCAGACTCTCTGCATGCTACGGAACCCCAAACTGTGAGATCGCTCGAGGATGCCCCCCCCCAGGCTGCACAAGAACATCCAACAAACACGAAGAACATTAGGGCACCCTCCCCGAACCGACCTCGATCGTACGCCTCGAGAACATCCAACAAGCACGAAGAACATTGAGGTAATCACCCTCCCCGAACCGACCTCGAGCTGGATGCCCTGGTCCGACCGCAATGCGACACTGACGGACAGCGAGCTGACAGCGACGTCGTCGGCGGCCTCGCCGCCACCCCGCGCGGCCCGAGCGGCGCGGGCCTCGGGCGCGCAGCGGGCGAGCTGGGGCAGCAGCGCGGCCATGAGCAGCTCCCGGGCGCCGAGGCAGAAGGAGCGCAGCTCCTCGGAAGCGCCGCCCCCGTCGCGGGTCGAGGCGTCCAGGCTGGTGCCCCGGCAGGGAGGAGGACGAAAACCAACCAGGGACGCTGTGCCATCATGTTGCGGGAAAGCGACAAAGCAGGGGCCGAACCATCGGCAGTACTCTTCAGGAGTGTCGACCTTTGCGTGCTAGAGAGCATCTCATTACGGCTACTTCCCTCACGAGCGCATCGGCTTGCAAGGCCTTGCATGTTCGGGCCAAGATCAAGCACGATCGGGTAGGGGTGGGCTACCAGCAGACCCATCGCGGCATTGTGACGCTGCTTCGAAACTCTCGTCTGGCCCTTCCTAAACTGGCCGTTGCTCAGAGTCTTGAAAGTACCCCTCTTGGAGATCCTCCCCACCACGGCCCGCTCAAGAAGGTGGCCGGTGGGATCCTTGACAGAGGCGGAGCAGGCGAAGTCGGCGAAGGCCGCCAGCACAGTCGCGACGCACATCTGCAGCTCCGCGCTCGACTCCCTGATAACGAAATGACACCGCGGGAGGACGAGCCGTCGGGAGAGAAGACATAAAACACTCGAAGGAAAGGGTGGCAATGATGAGGGCAAGGACAAGGGAAGGCGCCGAAACTAGTAAGCAAATGACGCCTATCACCGCCTGTCTGGTCGCATACGGAAGGGCCCGCATACCCGACAATGAGACGCATTTCTTCTAAGGGGACTATTCCTTCGCACTGTCCATTCATCGCGCGCGCGTCGAGAGCGCTCACGTTCTACCCGTCTTTGGGCACACAGGGTGTGTGAAGACCCGCAACAATTCTTACAGGATGCTGACCTGTAGGGGCATTCAACTCAAATCCCCCATTGCTGCGCTGGCGTGCTGGCGCGATGAAAGAGTTTGCCGCAGGCAACTGGATCAACCATCCATCCACACAGCCAAGCAATAGCCAGTCGACTGGCCAACCGACCTGCCGACGGCAACGGGCCAACCAATCGGCCAATCAACCAATCAACCAGTCAACCAGCCGGTCAATCAAGACAGGGGGCTGCGGCAGTGGGCGAAAATGTTCAAATATGCAAACTCCTCCGGACGGCTGCGAAGCCCGCCAAGACCAGCCATTGCACTCGCCAGCCGCTCCAGGTTCGGGCTGGCACCGACCTCGGGTCCAATGAGAGCATTTCTTTTTTATTCGCGGCCATAACTGGCGTTACGGCGGGGACGGGGGGGGGGCGGGACGGGAGGGCACATGACGCATCGCCCCCCCCCCCTCCCCAGACCGTGGTGCCGGGCGCACTGCGGCAATGCACGCACTGACGGGTGGAACGTTACGTTATGGGGGGGGCAAGGGCCTCCTGGATGGAGTCCGACTATGGGGTCGGAGGGTCGCACCGCATCGCCACTGCATCGCGGATGCATCACAAATGCGTCGCGGATGCATCAGCGACGTCGGCCGGCGACGCATCGGCACCGTCGGCGTGGGGAAGCACGGTCTACGCATCGAGCCGCATCGTCGATGCATCGGCGATGCGGCGCGATCCTCCGACCCATCCACTCCGACTCCATCTGAGAGGCCTAGATGAGGGTAGGGGGCAGAACGCGCGTTGTGGCCCAGATGGCAAGCAAAACCAGCTTCAAAATCCAGCCCGACGGAACGGCCTCGACACTGGGGGGCCGGCAGAAGCGGAGGCGGCGGGCCTGCTCCTCTCCGAAGCTCGGCACGCCCCCCCGAAAGAGGAAGAGGAGGAGGAGGAGGAGGAGGAGGAGGAGGAGGAGGAGGAGGAGGAGGAGGGGGAGGAGGAGGAGGAGGAGGAGGAGGAGGAGGAGGAGGAGGAGGAGGAGGAGGAAGAGGAGGAGGAGGAACAGGATGGGGGGGCGGAGGAGGAAGAGGAGGAGGAGGCGAAGGAGGAGGGGCAGGGAGAGGCGGAGGAGGCTCTGGAGACTCTGGAATACGACGAGGTGTGCCGAGAACGATGCACCAAGCCACAAAAAGAACCTCAGACACGCCGAACACAGCGATCAACACAAGCGAAGATTGGAACAGGCCTGTAGAAACCACAACCAACCTTCTCTCCAGAGGGCCCTTTCCCTTGGATGAGGTACCTCCTCTTGAAATGCCTCGGAGAACCCAAGGGCGGCCTACCTAAACACGGCTTAGAAATGAGAAAAGCCCGCGAGACACACCTAGCAGCACATTCTGAACACCAGATCATTGGGCCAGTACGCCAGAGCTTATGGGACGGGTGCGCTTCTCTGACCCCTTTCGGGTCACCACCACACGGGAACCCCGCAAGGTCACACCGCCGAGCACGGCTATCTCCGCACCTTCCGCACACCCATCGTCCCTAAACCTATGAATGACATGTCCTCCATCTTCAGAGAGGACCACAAAGGAACTGCGATCTACTCTGCTGCTCTCATTCACCTGTGCATCACTCCATCCTCCTTTCTGACACAGCCGCAAGATGCGCAGCACACATCTCAAGGTGAGCGGGACAGCGGCCTCCCGTAGCTTCCTGACCTTCTCACTGGGCCTCTCGCGTTGGTGGCCGTCCGCCCCCACTCTCGCATAGTAGTCAGCACTTCTGTTCCCGTTCCAGTACGTCATATTGATTCCTTGATCAATAGCTTTGCTCCTCGTCATGTGCGAGGGGATCCACTCGAATTCAATCTCGTCAACTCCGATGTGGGAGGAGGAGGAGGAGGAGGAGGGGGAGGAGGAGGAGGAGGAGGAGGAGGAGGAGGAGGAGGAGGAGGAGGAGGAGGAAGAGGAAGAGGAAGAGGAGGAGGAGGAGGAAGAGGAGGAGGAGGAGGAGGAGGAGGACGAGGAGGAGGAGGAGGGGCAGGG